TTTTTTTTACTTGCCAAATTACTGCTGTTATGGTATTTAGTAATGTCTTTGCATTGGCCAGGATGAAATTTTTCCCGCGTCAGAAAACTTTCAGAAAAAAAAAAAAAAAAAAAAAAAGATGTATAACTTGGCATCAATTTTATCTAAATTGATGCCAAATAAAGATTAAAAAAACTTTATATCTACTGATATAATGTTAATAATAAGAATCAATTTTATTTGCCAGGTTTGGGCACACAAAGAAGGAGCTTTACTTCAGTTCCACTTTGCTCTCAGTTAAGATATTGCAAATATAAATACACAATATGTAATGTTCTCTGTAAATATTTACATACACATATATATATATATATATATATATATATATATATATATATATATATATATATAAAGAGGAAGACGAGGCTGTATTACTTCAAATATTAAGTGTTCATCAGATTGACAGTCTGAGCATAGAAACCATTTCTGGGGCAGCTGGTTTGTGTCCAGAATGCGGGGGGTCTGCAGATATTTTAGCTTCCCTTTTCCTGACCCCAGACGCGTAACCAGACCTGATTGCTCATTGGAGTCCAGCCCTGTCCTCTTTTGTGGCCGAGCCAAACCACATGATGTCGTATGAACACAGGACAGACTGAATAATGGCCGTGAGGGAGGTGAGCAGCAGTTATTGTGACCGATTGTGCTTCTGGAGTTGCTGCAGGAAGTCTCTGCTGGGCCTTATCCTCAGCAGTGTTAGAGGACACCTCATGTCCCAATAAAGGTTGGTTTCCAGGAACCAGTACTGATCCACAGTCGAGGATGTGTTGTTGGAACTCAAAGAACATAAAAAAACGCCAAATCTTTTAAGTGCTTTGAAGACGCTGTACGTGTCTACATGAAGATAAGCCCAAATGTATTCAAACCCGTGGCAGAGTTAGGTTTAATGCAATCTTTTCATTTTACCCACATGTTTCTTTTGACTGCATGTAGCAATAATATTATGGAAGAAGCCAGCTAGAATCCTGACTAAAGATTAGGTGATGGCAAGGATTGCTTCCAACCCGGAAGACTTGGGGGTCATCACCAGAAAAAGATTTCTCTCCGTGTAACCATAAAAAAAAAAAGCTGGACAGCAAGCATTTCTACTGATTATTGAAAAGAGTGTAATTAATATTCACCATGTTGATTTTTTTTAAAAATCAAAATGTAAATGAAAACAAATCTTTTCAAAGCTGATACTCCGCTGCATTGTTTTATTATCTTTTGAGAGAGATCTTCCTCATTTCCTTTCAGACTTCGTGGTTGAATAACAATACATTTTTACTGACATCTGGCAAGAGCTATGCATAATCATACACTCAACTTTTTGTGATCTAACAGGTATTCTATTACTATTTGAGATTAAATTCTTTGTGTGGTTATTTTTAAAATATTGTGAACAGGTGATGTTACAAAATCTGAACGTGGTTACATTAGTTTAACAGAAATGACTTACTTATAATAATAGCTTACCAATTGGAAACTTTGATTCAGATTCCAACATGATATCATCTTTTATATAAAAAAAATCACTATTGCATTCAGGGAAAATAAAATATTTATTTGGAAATAATTGCCAAATAAGACTTCTAACTGGGAGTCAGTGGAGTCATCACAGCAGAAATGCACAAGAAGACATGCGCCGATTTGTCTGTATAAAGCCATGGAGCAGATTAAATCAATAGTTAGTGTATTGTTTGTCAGTCACATGTCATGCACTCCACTGACTACGTAGGACGGCCTTTCTCAGTTGTACTGTTCTCTGTGTAACAATAATGGTTTGGAACCAGAATTAGTGCTTCAGTAAGGGTTTTTTTGGTAGCCTATTGGCTGCTATCAAAACAGTGTGAGAAACTGAACGATGCCATTTAAACTCACAACAGTAAGCCAGGGAGACTCTGAGAAATGAAGCTGCTGTGCTTCGACAAAGCTCTGAAGTCATTTAGGCCACGTGTCATGGAAAGAGAGGGTGTTTGTGTGAAGAGAAACTCCCCTGTTATGTTCCATCACAAAAATGTCGATTCAGTAAAATGAAAGTAAGAAACAAACTGTCCTTCCTACAAAGTTCCACAAAGTTTATCTCTTGTTGGATAACCTAAAAACAGCACCATACAGACAAGCTGCTGCTGTTGCTGCATATTTCCTTTACAGTGTCAGAGCGACAGGCTTAAGGGAAGCGGTAAAAGAAAAAAAAAAAAAAAAAACAGTAAGGGCTTCAAAACAGTGAAAGAAGGAAGTAAAAAGGTCGCGGGCCGAAGAGCTCTAGAATCAAGGAGACGACAAGAAGCAGCTGCTGAACACCAGCGTGCTGTGGAGGATCGATTAAACTCTCCGTACGACAAACTGGGAGGGAAACCTCAACAAAATGACCACATCTGAAAAAACAGGTACTGTTTCAACTTTGGATTCAGTTCAACAACATGCTGGAGGTTCTGTTTGAAACACATTATTAGAACTGTGGCTTTTTGTTTCAAGCAGTTTTGATGGATTCTTGTTCTGGGGTCACATTTTGCTTTTGAGTAGTCGGATATTTCAGCTGTGTCTGCGAAATTTTGGCAGGAAATGTTTGGGTGTCCTGTGTGCGTGTGCGCGATGTGCAAGCACTGTTTTGGCTGGAAGGTCCTCATGGCTGATGCCTTGTCTGTTATTGATCATTTTCCATACCTTACCATGAGCTTAATGTAGTTTTGTTACCATAAAGTGTGTGAGACAGAACGTGTAACATTTCAGAGGAACTCCACGAAATCTGGCTTGCAACAGAATTTCTCCATCGAGCTGGTTTTCCTCTTACCAAGTATTCAGGACGTGTGATTCTTGAAAGTCTTTTGGCTCGTTTGTCTTACTGCGACGTATTTGTGGTCAGCGTGGGTCCGGCTGAAGTTTCCTTCCTCTGCCTCGTCTGAAGGGTTTCCATGGAGGCTGGCGATGCCCGCAGGGAGCCCTCTGCCGTCGCTGGGGAGCCATTTTGTGGGTTGTGAGGAATGACAGTCAGGCAGAAAAATCCTTTTGTTCTGCAAGAGTCTTTGTCAATGCTTGGCCTGACTCTTATCAACTAATCACGTCATGTCTGGGAATATGCTACATGCAACAATGTGAACTAGTAAAAAAAAAATATTTCTGCAGCAAAAGGCTGAATTTATTTTTTATTTTTTTTAAATTGCACTGATCAATCATTTTACTGACCAAAATCAATTTCTGGTTTCCTTTGGGGTTTGAGTTGCCACAGTCTGCTGGGTGGCACAGGTGAGGTTCAGCCAGGACCAGTGTTGCTGCCCGTTGCCTCTTCTAGTAGGGTGTGTTCTTTGGCTTTGTGGGGATTTTAGAGTGGGTGGTGCAGCTGCATCCTCTGCTTGGCTGTGGTTGGTTGGTTGGTGGGTGGGGAGTGGGAGTTTCCAATGTGTGGATGCAGCAGACTCTGAGGGTGATGGGAGTCGGCTCGCTTGATGTTGGCAGGTTCTACTTCTTGAGACCGTTTTTGCTTGGGTGGAGCGCTTTAGCTTCCTTAAATTTCTGCCTCCGCTTTTCGAATTAACGTTCATAAATGTGTTGTTCTGACTGTCACTGCTGTTATTTAGCTTACTGACTGACTTGGTGATGCACGCTGGTCCTTATTATGTACTGCCTTATAATATATAAAAACGATTCATGTTTTCAGTTCAGTTTGCATTGCTAATTAAACTGGTTGCAGTGTATAACCCCATTACCAAAAACAAACGTTTTAGCTTTTTTTTTTTTTTTTTTTTTCGTATATCCTTATAGTTTTATTAATTTACTTGTTGGTAACCGCAATAATGAGACAGGAAGTGCAGTGGAATGCAGAAAGGAGAATTATGCAAAAATGGCTCTGTCTTTACTATGTTGTGGTTGTGTGTGTCATACCACTGGTTGCAAACATCTGACTTTAAATGATAAAATTAACCATGAAACAACACCAGCTGTACACAGCTGTGTTGTTATTTATAAAGCTATGTACCTCATACTTCTTGTACTTTTCAAAGAAACTGTGTGTGCTGTATCCTGACCACCCAGTGTGTTCTTTAAATGTTTTTCATTGGCTTCATGTTTTGTACTGTAGTCAAAAAATACAAAGAAAAAAATACTGAAAAATGCAGTTCTCTAAATCTAAATGTATGAGACGATGAAATTGTTTATTTTTTCTGTCCAAAAGGAACATATTCTTTAAGTCAAAAATTACATGTATTGACTTAAATGTTCACCTGCAATAACATTTGATTAAAAGTTGAATATTTTCCTGCATATCCCACCTGCTATAGAACAGACCTGATGAATATAGTCCATAAACAGTCAGCAGGCTTTATCGTTTCCAAACCTGATCTTAAACTGGTGTTGCTGTTCACAGTGAAGCAAGTTTTACATCAGCATGGCCTGAGGAGATGCAAACCAAGAAAGAACCGCCAGCTTTAAGATCAGAACCTTCAGCTGATATTTTCAGCTGTCCACATGGACAGGTTAATGAGTCTTCTGGAGAAAAATATTTAGGGTCAAAAGAGACAAAAACTGAACTGCTTGACCGCTTAGAAATGTCCAAATGTTTGAAGAAGTTAAAGGGAGGCTTTCAAATTCATTAACACTGTGCCATTATTTTAAAAAGTAAATCCAAGTTCTTTGAGGATGTTGTAAACTGCAGTTATTATGATGGTAGGCATAAACTAACTAACCACTAGATCATATTAACAATATCAGCAAATATAGCACTTTTAAAAAAAATAAATTTATTGTGATGATCTATTGATATTGCTAAAAAAAAAAAAAACTTATTCTGCCATGCCGTATTACCCACACTAGCTTAATTAAAGGTATTCTTTTAAATTGTGCGGCTAATTTCAGTCGTAAAATTGAAGGAGTTGACCTCTAGCCCAGAGTTGTGCTCAGCTTTGATGTGGAGTCTTACTCGTTGTGTAAAGTATGTGAGTGGTTACGTGGTAAGACAAGAGGGGGTATCTAAAACTGAAACGACGTTCGGTTTTAGTTCTGCCTACTCTTCTCGCTGCATATGTTGCCATCTCATCAGAGAGATGACACATTTAGAGCTAAGAAAGGTTTCTCTCTCTGTTTTTGTTTCAGGGGAGTCCAGGAAGTTTGATCCCAATTTCAAAGGGCCGATCCAGGACAGGTGAAAGCATCTGTTTTACTCATTTAGTGTGTTTGTATGCGTGTGTGTTTTCTTTTTTTAATTTATTGTAAGGCCAAAGTAGCGCCATGATGAGTCTGATGCTTCTTTTTCCAGGGGTTGCACGGACATCCTCTGCTGTTTGCTCTTCATCCTCTTCCTGTTTGGTTACTTTGCTGTTGGTATCCTCGGTAAGAATCGTCCCATATCACTCTAATCCTGTTTTGATTCTGTTCAAAACCCATAAATATCTTGACGAAGATTGACTTTATTTAGATTTTTACAGACTTAAATGTACATATGGATAATTATGCAGTCCTGTTTCCTTGTACAAGAAAAACTACTAAAAATACAGAAGCATTGTTTAGGAAAAGAAACTGAGCGCAGAATCTCGATTAGTTGCACTTTTGACCGACCTTATCTGTCTTTCACCCAACTATGAGTCACTTCTGGTCAGCTGTGTTGTTGTTTTTAGTTTACACTTCAGTAAAACAGTCCTTGCTTTGCTGCAATGTGTCAAGGGACACAGATTGAATCGTTTAAGACAGATGGCTGCATATTTGCCTTTTTTTTTTGTTTGTTTTGAGCAAACATCTGCAACTTCTGCTTTTCTGAGATTCTTTCGTATGTTTTTCCTGATAAACACACTGTTGAAATTCCTTCTTTTATCAAGGTGGTTGCTGATGATCAGTTGATCAATGCATTTGATTAGCATAGCTGAACTATTGCTTACACCACTTCTGCATTTTATCTGCAGAAGTGGTTTTTACTATCTTATTAATTTATTTTAGTCTCTGCTACTTTATTCTAAAACCTGCTAAGTTTATGTAAAACCTCCAAACTGAAGCATTTCATCCCTCTGCAGCCTGGTCTCAGGGTGACCCCAGGAAAGTGATTTACCCCACAGACAGCAGAGGGCAGTTCTGTGGGCAGGCCGGGACCGCACTGGAGTAAGTCACCTGAAATATTAAAGGTCGCTCATGGACTTGTGTAACTTCCACATATACGGTTTTGCAAAAGCATTCGTACTCCCTGAACTTTCTGACATTTCCTCACTATACAACAAAACATTTCAGAGTGTTTTTACTGAGGTTCTATTTTGTAGACTAACACATAGTGCAGCACAACCGTGCTTGGAAAGGAAATTTATTTATAGTTTAATTTCCATAGTTTCACAGATTTTCATAGGGTTTCAGACTGAAGTAGGGTGAACTCAAATACATGCCCCACGTTTTAGACATACAGCGCTGGAAAAAATTAAGACACCATTTAAAATGATCAGTTTCTCGGATTTTACTTTTTATAGGTATATGTTTGAGTGAAATGAACATCTTTTATTCTGTG